CATTCACACACTGATGATGGTTAACTACAATGTAGCCACAACTACCCAGTGGCAGGCTGATAAATGTCCTTAAAATTACTTTTTATTGTTTAGTCACAGTTCTGTTGTGTTTTTTTTTTTTTTGTATTCACAAGTCTACAAGTGAAAGATTTATGGCTTCTACTACTCATATTTAACACCTAATAATTAATGGTTGCTGCTATAGGAAAGATAGTTATTTTTATATAAAAAAGTCTCCCTCACCATGTTCAAACTATTCTCGATATTTTGACCAATTTTTATATATAGTTTATCCATTTACTTCATTCAATTGAAACAATACATATTAGTTATTTATAGTCACGTGTTTTTATTAAAACCTTGTCTGCGAGTAGCTCACAGTAGTGCAGCACACGGCGGAGGAGGAACGCTGAATGAAACAAAAGCTGGCGTTAGCTTTAAGAGGAAGATGCTACCACCAGAACTACTGCCAGCCTGAAAGGGATTAGCTAGCTTTACCGGTTAGCATAACACCAGAAGTAAAATTTAGACAAAAGAACAACTGGGGTAACCACGCGGTTCTGTTTCACACAGAGAAAGTGCCTCGTRAAACGATTAACTACGCCTCCGATAGCCGAGAAAGACTCGAATGATCTAAAAAGAGTGTTAATTTCTTACCTTTTTAATGAGGAGCTGAAATCTGAGGGACGTCACAGCCCTTACGCTTCCGGTGTGTGTGAGCATGCGCAGAAGGAAGGCAGCGTGGGATGGGTCGTTTTACATGCAGTGATGTGATTGGTTGATAGCAAAACCTGTGACGTCTGTTATAAAATAATTACCAATCATAATAATTATACCACAATAATTGCAAAGTGTTTCTCGTTTGATATATTATATTCAAATTTATACAAAATCCTTTAGCTCCGCCCCCCTGCTGCAATGAAAATCAMATCAGAAAACATTGCACAGTTTCATCATAAGTTACATGGTTAACTTAATAAAGAAGTGAGAWAATACTGTGCAAAGTGAAGAGGCCCACTTAGACATGAGTGCTTTGGTGCTCTAATCCCCAAGTAGCAGACATTTCATTAGGACCTGACAGGAAACTGCTTCAACTTGTGAAAAAAGGCACATCTTGTCTCCATAAAGCTGATGTCAGGTGTGAGAGCAAGTCTGGAATATGCTTCTTCAATCTTTGTTTGAAACTAAAGATAGAAAAATCAAGGATTAAAGATTTAAAAAAGTTATCAATTAAGGTTTTAATAGAAGCGTGACTTCTGATGAGAGGGAAATTAATCTTTGTCAGGAGACTTAAGTTTGAGTACTTTTTTTAAGAGAAATGCATCATTCCACAGAAGATTTATTTTTAAAAAATMGCTCGGTTGTGTCTTCCATAGCTTCCAGTGCTTTATTTCAACGTGTTTACAAACCTAACGAGAAAGTTCCCAAATCTCAAAGTTAACAGCTATTAATTTCCTCCCACAGAGTCTGCTGCTGCTTCTTGCTGGCCCTTTTTTTTTTCATCTTCTTGCAAACAGTGAAGCACAGTTTCAAGCTGTCCTTTTTGTGGCCATGCTTCAAACAAAACGCTCTTTTCACAAAGAGACTRGAGCTGCATCTGTACTGCAGAAACACTCCACTGTGATGCTTGTTTGCCTTTGCTTCTTCAAACTAAACTACATCTGTGTTCCTGCAGTTTGTGCTTTCACACAACACGTACAGACGCTTTTGTTGGATTTTGTTTTGTGGCATCTCAGAGTTGCAGTAATTATAAGCGAACACCCACGATCTGATTTCAGTATGTTTCAGAAAGAAAACTGAGAGTCCACGCAATGTGAGAGGAGCCTTGTTCCTTTAAAACACATAGACCAGCCAATTATCAATGATTTTCTTTGAGCTATTTTATTGTCTACTAAGTTAAATAAGCCTTCTGATACTTTTGCCTTCTAGCTATTTATTTCCTACTTCAGTTTTTGCAATTTTAGGCTAGTCTTTTACAAGTTTTAGTAAGCCTAAGACAGCATTCTCATAAGGACAGTATATTAAACAGCTAATTTTAGCTTTTAACTCTCTTTTTGCTACTGTAATTTTTAGCAGGTTTTTTTTWTTTTATTTTAGTTAGCCTTTGGCWACTTTTGGCTACCCCTTTACAACTTTTAATTTTTAGTTACCCCTCCTGCCACTTTAGCTTTAGCATTTTGCTACTTTTAGCTCCAGCTGCTGTTTTGCTTACTTTTAGTTAGCCTCTTTTATTTTGTCCCTAGCACATGGCTATTGCTTATAGCTTTCAACATTCATGTTAAAACTAAAAAATYATAACATTCAGGACATCTCTCAGGTTTGTGAATCTTGGAGAAATTCATAGATTTTTTTTCTGCTGTTTCTTTAATTAATTTATTTATTTAAAAACATTTTTATTCCTTTCATTTCTCCTTGTTTGTCTGATATATTTTTTCTTTACTTTTGCTTGGTTTTCTGACCACATGTGAAAAAAAAATTTACATCCACAAATAGCATTTTTTTCTGTAATGGGACCTACTTTGATCTCCCCAGCAACACAGAAAAAATAAAGATATATTTTCCTCACATGGAGCAGTGGATCTGCCTTTCTGCTGGTGTTTCCAGGGTTTGCTGACATGCAGTGAGAGTTAGAGATGGTTATTTGGCTTCAACATTTGGCACAAGCAATTTAGATGTCTTCTTACATGTTTCCTTACTGAAAACCAGAATGACTCGGAGTATATATATATAAAGCAAACAAAAATGGAAAAAAAATATAAATATACATTTTTTTTTCATTTTTGTTTGCTTTGAACCTTAACAAAGGGGAGAAAAAATCAGAAAGAAGAAGAAAAAGAAGGAAAAACAAACAAACAATAATTAGCCATTGCAGTCCTGAGTTATTTACAGCGTATGTGTAATATAAGAGATTTTACTTTGATTGCCCAAGATGAAAATTCATTTTGAAGTCTTGATCAAACAGATTTGTTTATCTCAAGGCTATAAATGACAAAGATGGATGTTGCTTTACTCATACAATTGAAGGAGTTAAAACCAGTCTTCTTGCAGACGTTCAGGCCGAAGTTAAACTTAAAGAAAAGCTTTTTGTACCTGGAGCATCAGTGCCTGGAAAGCATGCCTCTGCTTCAGTCTGCAGTTCAGACAACAGGAATCCAGCTGGTGATGAAGTCTCTGACGCTGCATCAAACAGTGGTCGACTGAATACAAATTTACTGGATACAACTCTGTATCTGTGGCTGTGCAGGGAGCTACAAGTGTTCAGCCATTCCTTTGACTAGAAGATATGGGAGGAAATATTTGAGATAAGAGAATTTGTTTGAAGATCAAACTGAGTTTTCACACAGATATGGGGATGTTGATCATAAAAGGAAATTATTTCTGTCACTTGCTGGGAAAACGAGTCAGAATGCATACAGAGTGCAGTGTAAAAAAGAGGAAAATTTTAAGTTTTGCCAAAAATATGATTCGCATAACAACTATTTAGCAATCAATTTAACTAAAACAAAATATAAACTTCCTAATCTACATTTGACTTGAAGCTTTACCTCTTCAGAATTAATGCTTTTAATTTKTTTTGAAACTGACTATTTTTTTCTRTGCTGGCTGCTGAAATAAATGCCTTCATATAATGTTGGGCATTGTTGTAAAGCTTAGGCTTTCCTCTTTTTTCAATTAAACAGCTGAAATTTCTATTGCCATACAGACTAATAAAACTTGAGTTTTCAAACCGGCCAGCTTGTGAACAAGACTGTTGCCAGGTCAGGTGATAAACCACCAAATTTCAACAAATTACATATCATTTTGAAGCTTTAGAGACYGAAAAGTTTAAAATGATAATAGCTCAATATTCAAAAATTCCTTTTTGTCTTTCATTTAGCCAGCATTGGGTCCCATTTGTTTTCTGTGAGTTCATTTTCAGAACAAACCCAAATCTATTACAGTCTGAATCATTTTACACCTGCGCTCCGAACAGGTGTTATATTTGAACAAACAAATTAAARGTGTAGAAAACCAGTCACATTTTGTTACAACCTGCTGTCATGAAAAGTGTGTTAGTCTGCAACCGAAACACAGTGGGATATTCTGTGTTTATAGGCTCCACATCGGTCTGACATTGAAGCATTATTTCAGCTCAAAGCAYGTGGTTGAAGTCTATACATATCTTACAAATGGACTCTTGGGTTAAAAAAACACATTATGTTCGATTTTGATCTATCCCTGTTAAAAACAAAGACCAGGAAAATAAAATCCACACCGACTGCATGATTGAATCATTTGTTTGATGCCAGCTGCCACGAATGGCAGGTGAATCTGGGTGAATTTGTTTGTTTGGTAGCAAAAATTTCTCATGAAGCACTCGATGAATTTTAGCCAAACTCTAAACCATTCTTCTGGCTCTCTCATTTAATATTGTGAGATCTTGAGAGATGCAGTAGTGTTTGAAGTATTTTTTTAAAATGACTCTCAGCTACACWGATTTTTATCACAATATTCAGAAAAGAATTATATTTTTTGTGTTGGTTACCTAACAGTGGTTTTGACCTTGTGACTTTTAAAAAACTGTGGTATTCCTTGAAATTGAAAACTGCCAGCTCATGCCTGGAGGAGACAAAATAACAACTTTGCACTGGGTCATGGGAGCAAAGTGTTTTTTAGAGCTTGTTGTATGATTTTATTGCACTTTCCCCTGAACTGCAGTAACTTACTGAAATCAGAGATGAGAGAAYCGAGAAATGAGCGATAGCAAGTTCAAGAAAAAACAAAGTACAAGATTTAAAAGTATTAATCAGTACTGGCATCAGGCCCAACAAGACTCATGCACAGATTACCAGGCTCTGCTGCACAGTAAACATTCTTGGGGAAAAAATCGGTTTAACGACAAAAAAATTTAAATAACAAATAGGTTTAATGACTATGAATATTACATCCAAACGGTCCTGTACAAGCTCTCATTATTGCAGGGCTCAAAGAGCTGAAAGCGTCACTAACATTTACATAAATGAATCCAACTGATTTTTCCCCCTTTTTTTCTGGTGGAGTATAGTTCACAGAAAGAGGCAGATTTGCAATTTAATTAGCCAATCAGGACTATTTTGTTCGAAAAAACTTTGAAATGTAAGAGTACACATGTTAAAATAAGCTTACAGCATAACAGTTTGTTACGTCCTGATGTGTCTCAGTAATTCAGGTAGAAAAATCAAAAAGAAAAAAATACGTAGGTCCTCTGGACGGTTTCTTCTTTAATGAAATGTTTCGTCTCTCCTCCAAGAGACTTCTTCAGTCTGAGGAGTTTCAGGTGATCTCAGCCTTATAAGTACTGCCTCCACATGGTGGACAAAGAGTTTAGTCACATGCAAAAGAGGGTCATCAACCAAACAATAGATCATTAGTGCCTTCATCCCTGAAAGAGTGACCGCTGGCCTGTAGATGAGTGTAAACTGCAGAGTCCTAACCCGACGAAGTAGCTCGTCTGTGCTGGCTCATTCTTTTGAACAGTGGTTGTTTTGTTTCCTCCATGTATAACTGATCACAGTCCTCCTGACACTTAACAACATATACTATATTACTCTGTTTGTACCGGGGAACTAGGTCTTTGGAGTGAACCAATCTTTGCGGTTAATGGGTTTTGGGGTTTGAAAGCCAATGGGACATCATGTTTAGAGAATAAACATCTCAGTTTCTCTGAAACTCCCTTCTACATACAGAATAACCACTGGTCTGGGTCTTCACTTTTGGGGTCTTCAT